CTAACCTCAGAGAAGCCTGTTCTGATAGGCGAGTCCTTCAGAGAGCCTCGCCATCCTGAACTCCGAGGGTTTATTTCACAGGCACGGGCCAGCTACTTGCTGGGAGGTACGTGCATGGAAGGAGTCTGCTAACAGCATCTTGGATTTATTTTTCTTGTTTCACAAAATGTTTTTCCTATGAAATGAAATTTTTCATTGTGTGCCTTTCTGGGTCATGGCTGCTGTTTCCCGGTTGTATCGTTCACCTCGCAGACTAGCCCTCCACTTATGCTCAGTCCCTGAGTCACAGTGATAAATTGAGGGTGCTACAAGCTAGAGACAAAGGCCACCTGCCCTTCAGGGCCCACATCACCACCGCCTGTGGTGGGGGTACAGAGGCGCTCTGAACTGTGGGACAGGACACCTGGGTTCTCGTGTCAGTTCAGACACACTAAGTGAACTGAGATTTCTCATCCTGGTGCCCTTCTGTGCGAGTTTCTCTCCCAAGAGAATAGACTTGACTTGCAATTTGATCTTTGCTACCTCTCAAGGCGGGATGGAATGTATTTCCTCTTTGTGAATTCACTGCACTGGGTAAGCAAGTGTAAGCGCTTACTGCCCAGGAGGTAACCATGGTGATTTGGGGAGTATAAAGGTTGCCAGGCACACTGGGGTGCGGGAAGGCCCTCCTGAGACCTGGAGGCGGACAGGCCCTCAAGGAAGTGGCATGTAAGTGGAGTCCTCGGAAGAGGTGAGCTAGGTGACCAGAGGGGAGGAACATGTCCCTGGCAAGAGAAGCAGTGTGTGGGAGAGAAACGGGTGAAGCAGTGAAAATGAGAGATCGTAGACCACAGAGAAAGCCAAGGACACCAGGGGCTGGACAAGCCGGTGAGGCCCGGCGGCGTGGGGTCCTATAGGCCAAGACCCACGAGGAGCCGAGACAGCCCTGAGATTACTACAGGCACTTCCCAGGGTAGTTCTAAGAGGAGACTGACACGACTGGATTAGGGCTGGCTGGTTAGTTGATTTTTTGGTGCTGGAGTGAATTGTGTATTTTTTAAAATTTTCAAGGTGAGGGCCAGGAGGACTGGAGTAAGCCTTTTCAGTATCCACTATTGGTGGTTAAAATCAAAGTGAATGCTAATGTCGTTTCTGCTGGACCTTGATGAAAGACTGAATTCGAGGGAGACTGAGGTTACCACGGGGTCCCTGGCTTTGGCACCTGGGAGAAGGTGGTATCTTTCTCTGAACCTCAGAAGGAAGAAGCAGGCTATTGGAGGGGTTCTGTTGAGTGTGGGGTGTGTTCAGCATGAGGTTGCTGTGGTATATTTCCAAGCAGCAGTGTCAAGGAAGCGAAATATGTACTGATTTGAAGTTTCTGAACCTTAAGTCAATTGAAGACTTTCCTGGTTTCTCTCTCCTGGCCCTTGGACAGGAAGCATCCCCCTTCTGCTCCTGTTTCCTCCTCCTAAGTGAAAACACAGATGAGACGATCTCCTAGACCTCCTTAGGCACAAACCTCCTCTGGACTGCAGTCCTTCCTTTCAGAAGGATTGGAGAGGGGCTGGGGGTTTAGCTTAGCAGCACAGCGCCTGCCTGGCAAGCGCGAGGTCGTGAGTTCAATTCCCAGTAGCAGAAAAAAAAAAAACCAAACCAAACCAACAAACAAACAAACAAAACCCAGAAGGATTGGATGGTAGAGTTGGAAGTTCCAGTCCTTGTTGTCAAAGTCCAGTCTCAGCTCCTCTGGCTGCGTATTTATTCTCTGACTGAGGAAGAGGCCTATTCAGATGAAGCCCGTGAGCCCTCGACATTATCCTCCAAAGTGCAGAAGGAGAAAGACCAAGGGAGATCTGGCCAAGGGAAACCGTTGCCCTGTTTCTCTGAGGATGAGATTAGCCCGGACAAAACGGCCCTGGCCTCCTGGTCTGCCCCTCTGCTCACTGAGGCTTGGCCCACCCTGGATAATCAAGAGCCCCTTTTGTCCAGAGGAATCCCTCCTCCCCACCCCACTGAACACCATTTTATTTGCTGGGCCTTGGGAGGAAGCTTGAGCGTGCTGGGCAGTGAGCGGGGCAAGGAACCCCGTTAAGAGCCGAGCTGCCCTTCACTTGGGTAACCACTCCCTGGGCTGGGCTTGGCTTGTGGAAAACCTACTTTTTAGCTTTTTATTTTACCAAGACCACATTAGCAGTCACAAAGGGCAGCCATATGCAAAAGGCTCATTCTGCTTCGTGCCCTCTTCTCCGGAGTGGGGCGGGGGAGATGTGTGAGGGGCATTCTCAGCCCCAAGCCGAAACTCTCGCCCCTGTGAGGACTGTTTCGCGGGTGTAATCCTCACCTGGCGACCTGCTTTTTGACCTTCGCCTTCACCACGAGGGAAGAGGCGGGCGGGTAGGTGTGACCAGGGGTCCATCAGGGTGAGTCTTCATCCGTCCAGGCCTCTGCTTTCCTCGCTTTCCTGCTGCAGCTTCGCAGCTCTGAGTTTAAGAGATTTCAAAGCAGCTGCTATTCTGCTGGGCCAGGTTTTGTGCAAGTGTTAACCGGTGAATTGTGTGCGCGCATCGCATTAGGGTAGAGTATTGCTACCTCATGGGAAGTAATACTTCAGATAAAAATGCAGAATGGTCTGGAAATAATAAATTCTACCTTTCAGAGCAAGATTGAAACCCGATCCCACCTTATCTTCAGTATTTATCTCTTTAGGACCAAACATCTTTGGTCCTAAAAGGACGTGCTCTTTGTTTTTCACTTTTCTGAAGGAAGCACCCCCTTATTCCCTTATCAGATGAAGGCCCCCAAGTTAGCCAGGTCCCAATAGGAAGCTGAGGCAGGACTACTGACTGCAGGCTGAACACGCCTGCTTTCCCGGCCTTCCCACTTGGTATCCATTGGTATATCAGCTGTCACGGAGGGGCCAGACACACATGGGTGAGGGATTAGTGTACCAAATCCTGAGATTCTCTTGACTTTTTATAAGAGTCTCAGAATGTCTTAAAATAGCCTAGTAGCTAAAATAACAATAACAACAACAATAATAGCTTGCCATTGCTGAGAGTGGTTGTTTGTTTAAAATCCAAGGCCCTCGTCCTGGCAGCAGTTAGTTTCCACTAGCTGGGCTCCCACAAGAATTGCTCTAATGGAAAGCATATGGTCGCATCGCAGCCGGAAACACAGGGGTCTGTGAAGCTGTCTCTCAGCCCCTCTGAGGGGTTTCCTGAGCTGTGAGCTGCAGGCATCCACACACCTTCAAAGCTGAAGTATGGGGTAGATAGATATGATTGTTTTAAAGAAACTTGTGATGCTAATGTTTCCTGCCCAAGTAAGAACTGCCAGTCCACTCTTAGGGTTTGGTCTCCAGCTTCAGTATCCCAGCAGTCTGTACTCCTATCCTCAGGCCCTCAGGATACTTTAACTGCCTTGTTGAAGGAGGGAAACCAGCCAACCATGGTATATTAAGCCATATTGCTGGGATCTCGTTAGGTCTGGAAATGTACAGCTGCCCTCCAAGAGGACAAAGCTTAGCTCTTGGCTCCCCACCACCACCCTGTGAGAAGCTTTTGCCATGTAGCTTGCTGTGCTAACTCCCACCTATCCCTTGCCCACCTGATCCACAGGCCCTACTACTTTCTGGATCCTCTGACTAGCAATCAGCAAACCTTTTAGAGCTTTCAATGAAAACAAACAACTGCAGCACACACGCCATAGAACGGTTTGCCACCGCTGCCGTAGAACGATCCCCAGATCACACCCCACCAGGCAGCTTCCTGTATATCTCGCCCCCTTCCTTTATTGAAAATAAAGCTTCTGGGCATGGGAAGGGTGAGGGAGACGTCAGTGTCAGGCTGGCTTCTTGGAGGTAGGAATGGTTGCAGTTGAGTCTGTTGATCTCAGGTCCCTTGCTTTGTAGACTTCTGGAAAGTGCCGAATGGCAGTAACTAATGGCTTTATCCAGTCACCCTTCCCGACTCCCTCAGCAGTCCTGGAAAGCATCCGTGGTGTACTTGATTTCAGATTGTGACAGGTGATAAAAGCACAGATTGAGGTTGCCACTTCACAGGGTCCAGATTCCTATTGACTGACGTTATTTTTACTTTTGCTGAGAAATGCACTCATGTGCTTGCCGTTACTTTTAATGGGGTGCTTCCGGATACACTGGGAGGCCCAGGCACTTACCCTTCAATCTGGCAAACTTCTCTTCACCTGCGTGTAGCTGGCACTGTATAGATTTAGTCCATGCAATTGGCACCAGGGGTTTCTTTTTTCCCCTGAAAATATAGTCAGATTAATCAGCAACTGTTGCTGTTCTTCGCATCTTTATGGAGCTCAGCTTTAATTAGGATGTTCCTTTCACTTCACTTTTCTGGTTTTTTTCCGGTACCGGGAATTGAACTCATGACCTTGTGCTTGCCAGGCAGGCGCTGTGCCGCTGAGCTAAATCCCCAGCCCCTCACTTCTCTCTTCTGAAGTTTTAACATATTAAATGTCCTGTGGTCCTAGTGTTTGTTCCTGTGCTTTTGAGGGCTGTATGGGAAATGTTTGATCATGATTTGTCAGTTGTAACTATACTAATAAACTGGAAAATCTTCAGTTCTTCGGGTCTGTTGGGGTCCTGCCAATAACTCTTGTTGTCCCAGAGACTCTGCAGAGGGTTCTCATGGGATGTCTCCTAGTGGCTCTTTCTCTTCCTTCCATTCCTCAGAGGATCACATTTTCTTTGCAGAAGATTCCCACTGCTCTCAGGTTCCCTGGCTATAGTTGGAAGACATCAGTGACCAAGGCGGAGCCCAGGCCTGAGACCTCAGCAGGCCAGCCAGGCAACAGATGCTTGTTGCCTTGTTTATTTTGTATTTATTATTCCCTTACTTAGAGTTTGGAGAACCGAAGCCAACAGGTTTTTAAAAAGAACAAGCATGATTTGACTTCTGGCATTGATTGGGGCTCAGGGGTTACTGGGTATTTTGTTTTCTGATGTGAAACTATTTGGTAACCACTAACTCTTCCTTATTCTTTTCTTGCAGATGAGCTCACAGTGCCTGCACTTTACCCCAGTAGCCCTGAAGTGTGGGCCCCGTACCCTCTGTACCCAGCGGAGTTAGCGCCTGCTCTACCTCCTCCTGCTTTCACCTATCCCGCTTCACTGCATGCTCAGGTAATTTATACCCATCGGCCACGACTTCACTCACTCCACCACCAGTCCTTCCAGACCTGGTTCCCCAGAGCACACCATACAACTAACACCTATCCAGCTAACAGAGCCACCCTCAGGAAATGAATGATCCCCTCTACATCAAGCTGACACCCTTCTGGGACTTACGAGGACCGTCTACAGCAATGATACCACCCACTGCCTGATGTTTGCCCCCAATGGCACCTCTGTCTTCCTTAATGATCTCACCCTCATCTCACACACACGGGACTGAGGCGAGGTGACCTCCTTGGCCCCCAGCTAGCTCAAGGGCATCACGGGAGCGTAGCTGTGCGTTCCTTGTCGTGTGGACGGGCTGCCGAGGTGGGCATGCACGGGAACCAGAGTTACGTTTGTCTGTATGTTTCTGTGTGTGGGGAGACTTCTGCTCTTGTGTTCCATGAGGAGCTAGTGATCAAGGAGGGAGTTCCGGGAGAAGGATTGTGCTTACAGGTACTACAGGAAAGATGAAGGCTTCCTTACTCCATGTTTAGGAAACTCCAGAGCAAAGACACAATGTAGCGTCTGGAGTGTAATTACAGGTCAAGGTAGAGCCTCTCTTCTGACTCACTCACTTTCGCAGTTAAGAATAGCCTGGTTTCATAAACACACTCCCTCATCTCTCCCCGGTGATGACTCTGCACTAACACTTGCTCTCTCCCTGGAGAAAGTGTGTCTCCCGAGCTTTGCTTTTAGTATAAGTAGTAGTAATCACTGTTAAGATTTGCCTTCGGAAATAACCGCTCATTCTTTCGGCCTGCAGAGAGTGATGAATAGAAAATAAGTAGAAAGAATATAAATTCCATCTTTCTTAGCTCATGTGTCACTCACCCTAGTTTTTTAGAAATTGTTGGGTCGGATAGGTGGGGGTTTTTGTTTATTTTGTTTAGTGTCTGTTGACAAGGCTGGGTGAAATGAACATCTTCCCTGAAACGCTTTCCTTTTGAGGACGCACTTTGGTGCTGTCCAGACCTGTGCTAAGACCCTAGAAGCAGCCCCTGGGAGGGGCCTTGAAAGCCGCGCGTGGGTCAGGAGCGTCGCTGGCTGAGTGTCCTTCTGTTCTCTCAGCTGAACTGCCGACGCTTGCTGCCTGCCTTGGTGGCCTGGCTTCCTGGAGCCGCTCTCCCAGCACCCAGGCTCATGCAGGCCAGGGCGCTGACCACCCTTCTTTGGTAGAAGGAAGCAGGAAAGTAGTGCAGTTGAAGGAAAATGGAGATGGTGGGGAGCAGGGGGCTTGGTACAGAAAACAAAGCAGAGGATTAGCAGTGCCTTCTGCTTCTCTTTCCCCTGCTGCTTTGCCGCCTTCTGCCCATGTCAGTGCTTTGGACCCTCCCTGCTGGCAGATAACCGGAGGGAGAGCTAAAGGCAAACCTGCGAGTGTCTTCTGCCGAGCGTCAGTAGGTCTGTAGTAGGCTGCAGATAACTTTGTAGGTGACAAGGAACTACTGAAAGAACCCCTTTTCCCTGCCCAGCTCTAATGTGTGGATGAGATTTCCCCTCCACCAGATGGCTCCAGATGCAGAAGGGCTGTCAGTGGAGGCCATTAGTAGATAGTAGGACACTGCAGGTTTGTGTAGTGCCTGAATATCTGTGGCTTTGATCAGTCAACCACAAAGCCTTCACTATTACCTTGGAGAATCGAGAGTTGACAGTGACCAGAAAAGACTGGGGATGGTGGCTTTGGGCCATGACATCTGTCCTTGCTTCATTCATGTAACAGCTGAAATCAGAATGATTCTGGGGATATGGTGAGAGAAGGACTCACAGAGTCTTAAAGAGATTAGAACCCCTACTCCCTGGGAAGGAAGGAAGGGGAGACAGTGCAAGGTCAGGCGGACTCAGCCACCTGACTTGGGGCACGCTGCCCACATGACACCTTCCCTGTGGGCTCTTCCTTGGTGCTGAGTCTTTCCTAGCCTGGAGTGCACTTTTCTCTGCTACCTCAGTCCTGGGTTTGATTGAACTCTCCTCCAGTGTCCATGGGATCCATGTGCTCAATCTCACTTCTTACTTGGCATTGCTCTCAGTGCAGCATTGGACTCTATATCCCAAAGAATCATGAACAGATGTGGTCATTTAAGTTTTTCCGTGGTGGGACTCAGTGAACAGGTAGCAGCTTTACAGATCAGCCAGTGTGACCCATTTTACAGATGAGGAAGCAGGCCTGAGAAGATGGAGATATCCAAGGTCACAGTGGCTCTACCACGACCAGACCCAGGCCAGTCGCCTGACTCCTAGGCCTCTCTTTCCACCCTGAGGTGCTGGCTCACCAAAGACTTACTCCTTAATGGAACTGTGGAGAGGCTTCACTTCAGTGACTCTTTGGAACTTTTTTCTCTTAAGTAAAAGGGAAGCCGGTGAGAAGAGCCTTTGGAGGCAAAGACAAGGGAATCAGCACCTAACCGCGCCCCGAATCATACTAACTGGAGGTAGAGCAGAGTGGGGAGCCCCAGCTGGAGCCTCTCCCTATAGCAAAATAACTCAGTTTTTGTCTTGGAAATTTTAAAATGTTTTTGGAGAGTCTTCTAAATAATTTTGGTTTTCTTAGCAATGTTATGCTCTGTTTTGAGACATGGATTTTTTTTTTCTTCTAGTGTTTCTCTCCTGAGGCAAAGCCCAACACACCTGTCTTTTGTCCACTTCTCCAGCAAATTAGATTTGTCTCTGGGAATGTGTTTGTCACATATCAACCTACTGCAGACCAGCAGAGGGAGCTCCCATGTTGAATTTGTTTGTTAGCTATATTAACCCCCTTTTGCAAAAACTATTTCTTGGCAACCTTTGAGAGATTCAATAAAAATTTTACTCGGAACAAAAAAAAAAAAAGATCTCAAGTAGACTGCAGCGTTTTGTTTTCACGGTGATTCAATTTTGGAGCAAAGGTGTTCATCTCTGAGGTTTTGGGAGAATTGGGCCCTTGACAACTAAGTGTGTTACACAGGAGGAGAAGGACTCAGAAAAAGTACCTGGGGAGACTGGGCCCTCGGCTGAGGCCTCATCACTGCTGCTTGCGTCTTCTTGGGCTCCCAAACTACCACAAGCTGCGTACTGGAAGATTCTCTTTGCAGCCTCCACACCTACCAGCTGCAGGAGCCCTTGCTGCAGCGGGGATGGCGTGACTAGCTAGTGGAAACATGTTCGCAAGGGGATGTGTTTGCCAGTTGCCTGCTGGGATCCAGAGGAAGGAGGACCCAAGAGATGGAACATGGCTTTAAAAAGAAGTTGGGTCACATTTCTAGTGGTGCTCCAATTTTAGTCATGATCTGGTGCCCCCTTAGATTTCCCAGCTCTAAATGCCACTTTTTAAGGACTTACTGGGAAATAGTGCATACCGTGCACTGCCTTACTGCTTTTAAAGATGAATAAGCAGCCCTGTGCAACAAGCATCTGATTTCTACCATCATTAACATTTTTCGAAGTGAACATCTAGCTTACTTTCAAGGTCATTGGTATTTGAAATTTATTAAATATGTTGTGTAAGCCATTGTGAGTAGAAGTTTCACCCACCACCATCTGGAAAGTTGTGCTGTGAAGGCAATCTGCAGCTCCTCCTGTGGCCTCATACACATCTCTGCCTTTAAAGTCCAGCTTCATCTTTTGCTTTTAGTCTTGATGCCTTGTTGCTGAGGCATCTTGGGGCAGAGAGAAATAGTCAGTTAAGCGCACTGTCCTCACCACATGCTAGCAGTGCAACACCACACGTCTTCCACTAGAGTCTGTCAGAGTTGGACCGGAAACACTTGCAGGGGTGCAGGACTGAGAGACCCGGGTGCCTGCTGCTGGTTCTGCAGCCTCACTCGTCCCGCATCATCCCAGCCCTTTCAGAACGTGCGCAGGCTGCCGCACAGCTCGAGATTGGAACACATCACTTACGTTATCACTTACGCTCCGGAAACAGAACATTTCAAAGACCCGGCTTCTTAGGAGCATGCCCCTTGGGAGGTCCCTTGTGACACAGTGGAAAAATTTTAAAGGTTAAACCAAAAATAAGTGCAGAAGTGAACCATGGGAAAAGAGACATAAGCAATAGAACAGGGAGATCGCAAAGGGGTAGATACATGGGCCTCGGCTAGTGTGTGGCTGCCTGTGCTTTAGGGCTGTCCCCTTGGACTAAGCATTTATTAAGCAGCAGGGGCTGTGTCGCAGAACTGGATTTTAGGACATTTTCTTTTTAAAAATTTGTAGTGTGCATCTCTGTCCCTGCCTTATGGAGCATACCAAAAAAAAGACTGCAATGTGGCCTGGACATGTAAGCATCAGAGGATTAATAACACAACACAGTGTAGATTTGGGCATTCACAGAGCCCCTTGGAAATAATCCTCACTCCAAGGCAGCTGTCACCCTACAGCTCCTGGTGAGCCTCCTATGGCAAGCAATCTTATTTTTTAGCCTCTGATGCCTGTTTTTCAGGCCGTGGCCAGCACTGCAGTGGTGGCTGGTCCTGTGAAGGACCCGTGAACGAAACCTTCTCAGATACACAGGAAGGGGCTGTAGAGCCCCAGTTGCAGCCTCACTGCCAAAAGTGAGGGACGGGCTCGGGGAGCCTGGGCTTTTGCTTGTGTGAATCTCAGGTGTCATCGGCTCATAACCCTGGCCCTCCACCATCCACTCTATTCTTTAGAGCTGCTGCTCGGGCCTGCCCAAAAAACTCAGCCTTTGAAGGACTGCACAGGTTCTCTGTGGTGCTAATCAGCTTGAAGATTTTTCAGACATAAAGGAAACTATTAATCCTCTCATGCTTCCATGTCCCTCTAACCCTGCAGCTGTGTGAGGCCAGTCTTCGGGGAGAAACCGTCCTGAGTGCTATCTCCTGAGGATGCCAGCCCTGCCTTGAGCCTTCTCATTGCATCTAGTTCAGCGCACATAGGAGACAGGCAGGTCAGCCAGATGTGTTCAGCGTTAGGCCTGCAAAGGGGCTGTGCCTTCCCTAGTTACTGGGAGTCTCCTTTTCTTTTTCTGCTGTGAGCAGAGGCTGTGCTGTCACCTGAGCCACTCATGGGTACTCCACCATGCTGCTTTTCCTTTGTAGTCCCCGGAAGGCAGGCCAGGCTTTGAGCACAGGCCAGCACGTGTCCACCTACCAAAAACCTCCCTGTGAGGGGAGACCCATACGGACAGGGAAACAGCTCAAGCCCCCGAGAGGAGAATGGCATTTCTCATTGCTTTACACGGAGCCACTGTCCCTTTACGTTACAGCTGTTGCCTTCTCGAGGAGAAAGACGCAAGGGTCACCCAGCCATTCCCCCAGGCTCTGCTGGTTTCTTCACAGTCCTCCTGTGAGGGGTTCCCAGCCTCATCTCCTGGTGGGCGAGTTCTGGCTATACCGTGGAGATGACCTGCTCCTGGCCAAGTAAATATTGTCTTTGGTCCATCCCTTCCCCGCATCTCTCCTGGCATTTGTGGAGCTGAGGAGCCTTTTCAAAAAACAGAGAGACACAAACTAGCTACTTAGGCGGTTCGGAGTTGCTAATTCCAGCCTTGCCAGGGATTTTCCTTCCTTTGGCCACAGCAGCGGTACTGAAGCCAGACAGTCCCCTACTGGCAGCCTTAGGCAGTGGGGGCTGTTAGAAAGCTCGTCAATCCCTGTGTGTGTGGCCGTGTGGTCCTGGCCCAAGTTCCTGAGCACCAGATTTCCCCAGAAGTCAGGACCAGGGGCACAGCCCAGGGTGGGCCTGCAGCCAAGCTGCGCCTGGACACCGTTAGCCAGTGCACTCTGTCTTCAGGTTTCTTCAGCATATCCCACGTGGCCCGCTGTAAAGGTGGACTCCCTGGGTCCCGTGCAGACTGTCCCTGACCTTCCTGGGGTCAGAGCCCAGGTCTGAGTCTCCATGAGTCACTCTTGCAAGTCGCACTGGTGACCTCAGCTTCTTCCTCAGAATTACTAACAAGTACATGTCCTCACTGTCACAGTTGGCTCGGTATTTCACAGTCAAATTGTAATGACAGTTATGAAACGCAGCTAAATTTGAAATTTTTAGCAAGTTTCAGTTTTACTATATTTTATCCTCACTGAACCTGTTTCCTTATCTGTGAATGAGAAGGAGGAACCCTACCTTTTGGAGTTATTTTGAGGTAAAGAATTAAATGTTTAGCCTAGAGCAGGAGTTTTAAAATACTTCTTCTAGTATCTGCCCTTTGTCAGCACTTGGTCTGGTCTGATGCAGCTCAGAGATCCCAGAGCCCTCCCCAGAAGTGTGAGAAGCATATAGACACTGTGTCTCCAAGCCAGGGCCCCACACGGAACCTAGGGCCTGGGCCTTGTTCTTGGGCATAGAAGACAGGCAGCTGGAGCAGGGCACGAACTTGCATTGTGGACAGAGGAGGCTCTGTTAGGGTTGTCCGGCTGTCCATCAGGCATTCTGCCCTTCCCCAAGCGCAGGCACCCAGGTACACCCGGAAGTACATGAGGCCTGCTTTGGAAAGAAACCCAAGGCTACAAAGAAACTTTGGATTATACAACATAGTCTTCATAAAAGGGGAAAGTGAACTTTTCCTTGAAGAAAACCAGTTGTGACAGGAGAGAAAAGGGAAATCAACTCCAAATGGGATCATGTTTTATTCAGGATTTGTTCTGCCAGTGGGGCAGGCCAGAACCCAGTAAAAGGACTGAAAGTGGGACGCCCCAACTTCAAGCCTCATGCGTTCCGCCACAAAGCTCTACTCGCTTCACTGAGCACAGCTCCTGGGGACCTCTAATGGCCCTTGCTAGCAAACATAGTTAAAAATTAACAGGCTGACAGAATTAAATATGGATGACAAGCAACCACTGTGGACTTAATCTGACACAGGATGTTACACGCTTGGGTGCCCTCAACCCAAGTGGCGTCTTGAATGAACTTCGAGATGTCTGAGCACATTTCACATGCCTGTTTGGAAGTAAGAGCCTGACTTGTGCTTAGGACAGACAGGAAAAAAGTCTAAAAGCCCAAGAGAGAAAGACACTCCCTGAGGGCTTGCATTTAATTAAACCTAACCCTGATTGGTCTTCACTCAGCAGGAGGTGTTCACTGTCCTAGGACCTTTGTTCTCCATCTAGACCTTGTCCGTGGTGGGGCTCAACCCTCATCGATGTTCTGCCATCCCACAGTGGAGCCTGGCCTTCTCCTGACAGGACTTCCTTGCTCTCCTCCTGCCCGGCTGCTGGGGTGGGTGAGATGGCAGGCTTAGTAACCTTGCCAGTGGGGCAGCAAGTTGTTTAATTGTCCTAGACTGGGAGTAGCAGATGCCAGACAAGTAGTAAGGAATGCTCATTATACTTCATGCTCTGGGTGGATGCTGAGAGAGTATGGGCAGCAAGCTCAGGTTGGCAGAGGGTAGTGTGGTACCATTTAACCCAGTGAGCCCCATTTCATGCATCATGGACATGTTTGGAAAGTCTTTTCCCAGCTTGTGCAAGGGCATTATTAGAAACGAAGAGGGTTGCTGTTTAAAAGAACTTAGTTGGTGCTCTAAAGAGAAGTCTTTATATTGCAAGTCTTAACTCCAGTCTGTTGGGCGAGTGTGGAGTTTTTTGAAGCAAAATGGACTTCTGGCCTACAGCCTCTCCTCAGCCTGGCAAAGGTCCTCGAGGGGTTTCCTTGATGATCCTGCCCAGGAGATCTTGAGGCCTGCATTGAGTGAGGCAAAATTGGTTTTTCTTAAAGCTGCAGGTGAGTGGCTTACAGCCAGGAGCTCAATGGTGGGGAAGCCCTCACAGAGGAATTGAGGGTTCCATTTGGGGGACGGTAATAGAAACTTGCCCAAGACTGTCCGGGACTTAAAAACCAATTAATCTGTTATTCATCTAAAATACTTGCTGTCCTAGTTACTTTTCTCTTGTTGCAGAGACAAAAT